ATGTAATTGTTCTGCCGTTGACAGTAAATTAACGTAATATTATTATTTTTTTTATTTTTTGGTTATTTTTTTTATTTTGTTTGATTTGTTGACAAGTCAACGTAATTATATTACTGTCGTTGACAGTAAAATAACTGTAAACACAAAAATATTACTGTCAACAACATCAATATTATTATTTTTTAGGGTTTTTTGTTTTGTTTGAGTTATTCACGGAGTAACGTAATAATATTACTGTCTATTATTGTAATATTACTGTAAACACAATAATATTACTGTGGTTGACGGTAATATTACTTTTGTTATAGTAATATTGCTGGCAACCACATCAATATTATTATTTTGTTTGGATTTTTTTGTTTGTTTGAGTTATTCACGGAGTAACGTAATAATATTACTGTCTATTATTGTAATATTACTGTGGTTGACGGTAATATTACTGTTGTTATAGTAATATTACTGTCACACACAGTAATATTAATTCTTTTGGCTTTTTATTATGTTAACATTTGTTGAACGGTCAACATAGTAATATTACTCAATTACACAATACTAATGAGTTTTGTTGTGTTAATATTACTGTGTTAGAGATTAATATAGCAATATTACTGTGTTAAACTATAATTTAGTTAATTTTACTGTGTTTAACAGTAATATAACTAATATTACTGTCAATCACAGCAATATTGTTGTTCAAATGAAACAAAAAAATCGAAAAAAGTCAACGCCGGAATCCGGCGGGAAAAAAAAATTCGGGTCAAAATTGAATAATTTGTAAAATTTAGGGTCAAATTGAGGTTAAATTAAGTTAAGGATGAAATTGGAGCATATTAAAGTATGAAGGGTTATTTTAGTCATTTACAAAAATCTGGACCATGTGTGGACTTATTGGTAAATGAGATTTTTGTCTGGATCTATTTATGAATAAGTACCCATTGATGGGCTTATTTGTAATCACCCATATATTAAATATCTGATAAGCTCCTACGTCTGATAAGTTATTTTAAGAGCTGATAAGTTATTTTAAGAGCTGATAAGATATAATATCTTATTTTTACAGTTAACTTTTAAAATGTTTGAATAATGAGCGTATAAGTTGTTTTTGCCCGTTATAAGATTTTAAATAAAAGGGTGTACATATAGGTACTTTTTTTTTAATATCTTGAATGCTCTCAAACAGCTTATTTCTAAAAAATTAAGATCTTATTTATTTATTTTTACCAAACCCTCTGAAAGAGCTTATAAGCTCTTAAACATTTTATTTTTTTTAACAGCTTATAAATTAGCCAAACACCCTCTTAAAATAGTAGTTTATGGAATTATGGAATTAGGGTTAAGTAATCGTTTTATCTTTGTGTCATATGTGTTGTATCTTTATATTCTACTGCCAGTTCTAACATTAATATATATGATTTGGCCCAAATTATATAGGAACTCAAAGCCCATATGTAAGAGCCCATCAATCAGCCCATCTTCTCTCTCTCAAGCCCATTAATCCACCGGCCCATTAACTTTCTGGCCCATCTCTCTCCTTATATCCATGGCACGCATTTCAAGGTAGAAGGAGGAGAATAAGAGGAAGGGGGTGGCTATGAGAGAGGGAGCCCGAGACAGAGAGGTGGGGGAGAAAAACACACACCTCCTACATACACAAGCATAAATATACATACAAATACACACAGATATACACAAATACTTGAGGGGTCCAAATCGGCTCCATCAAATGACGCCGTCTGTGGGAACAATTGAATTATAGACGTGCGTAGATTTATTTTGGGGATTTTCTTTGAAGAGGTTGAAGATTGGTGGATAAAAAGGGAAAATCTTCTGATTCTTCATTCTCTCTCTACATATTTTCAGAATTTTTTCATCAAGGATTTCTCTCGTGTGTGAGAGTTGAATGTTAATAAATGGATTAGCTAACTCACGGCCGATCTCTGCCGCAAGCGTTTCATGCCAGGGATCTTCAGCCCCACCACCACCACCAGGGAATTGCAAAGCGGGAGCAACCGCAGCCAGCTGAAATTAGATCGGGGCGAAAACTACGGGTTTCCCTCCGCCGCCACCGCCGCCGAGAACTCCAACTCCAAGGACCTGATCGCCGGCTCCACCTGCGAACACGGTGAGGTCACGCGCAGCCCCTGCGGCGGACCTGCTGGGTCGAAGAACAAGCTGAAGTCGAAGCCGCCAATCATAATCACCCTAGACAGCGCGAACGCGTTCAGATCCCACGTGATGGAGGTCGCGAACGGCTGCGACGTCCAAGACAGCATCTCCACCTTCGTCACGCGCTGCCGCCGTCGTCGATTCCGCGACCGGCACAAGGCACACCTCAGCCTCTGGCGACGATAAGCCGTCTCCCGTTCGAATCTTCGTGGGTCCGCCGATAAACATTTTTCCTCTTTGCGGAACCGTTCGATTGTGATTCTAGTTTGATTTTTCATTCGGGGATTGTGATCCAAGCGAGGTAATCCGATTATAAGCAGAGTTTCAGGTACAAGTATCTTCCTTTTGATCTTTTTACATGAGTGTTCAACCTATTTGTCTCGTCTGAAGACCTCTTTTGCTGATTAAGATTTAATTCTCCTTACGATGTATGTGCAACATGATATTTCTCGAGATTGTATACAATCGAATGGTTAGATTTGAGGTTTGGAAGCTCGTTGCAAGCCACTGAGGGGACAAAGACATAATGGGGAAGATAACTAATTTGTGTTGGGTTTAAGTTTAATATCTTACTTTAAAGCTACTGATGGGGTACGGTCAATATGTAACACGACGACAACCTATCCGAGTATTCAGGTAGCGAGAACGAGCTCGTTAGACATAAAGTCGGGGTTGGAATCGACCCCGTACTCAAACCAAGACCGCGGTCGGTATCGGTCGCACTAGAGTAAGACAAGGTATCTCGCATCCGAAAGAGGAGTAAGACGAGGTATCTCGCATCCGAAAAAGGAGTACGATCAGTATCGGTCGCATTAGAGTAAGACGAAGTATTAACTAACTAACTGAAATTTGTTCAATGTTTGATATCCTCAATAACTTGTTCGGTCGACCCGCAAATACTACATGGCCTATCTTGCCTTCTAAACATGTTTTTTTATTGAACATTTCAAGATCCTATAATACAATTGAGTTTCATAAGATTATTTAATATTATATTGAGTAATCTTATCTTATGAACCAAACGAGGCATAAGTGAATAATTTCTATTTTTGTACGGTCCCTAAAAATCCCCAGTTAGGTCCTCCATTTATTTGATAGTGACTATGAATAAGAAAATATTTAGGTCTCACTTGTCTGTAAAGATAAGATTAACTAGGATAAACTCAAACTTGGTTATTTTATCGAACTTGAGACGTCCAACGAAAAAATCACCTAAAAGGCAAGATAATGCATGATAAACCGTGATAATACAATATTTACGAATCAACCCAACAAAAATATTGGGATACGTCAAACAAAATTCAATTATTTAATTAATAATAATTAATCATATCAACCATACGAGCTCTTAGATGATTAGATGGCCTCCATGTTGGCTCAATGACCCAACCTAATAGAAGTGGCAACAAATGAGTTTTTTTTTTTTTTTTTTTGTATTATTTTTTATATATATATTATTTAATAAAGGGATGGATAACCTAACTTAATACTAAATAATTTTTGAAGCCAAGTCGCCCAAAAAGCGTTGAGAATGAAGATGTAAAGAAGCAAAAGAAAATGATAGTTATGGCATATGCTTTAATTGATAACACTGCACATTGCACCCACATACCACAAATATATTAAAATAATATTATTTCCTACCTTCATATTCTATAATGTCACCAAAATGTTATTACCTATTATATAAAAATAGAACATGCATGTTTATTTATATTTCTAATTAATAAATTTGAATAAATATAAAATTCTTACAAATTATGGTTTATATATTGATGGAGCCCATTTGGACCCCTCAAGTATTTGTGTATATGTGTGTATATTTGTATGTATATTTATGCTTGTATGTGTAGGAGGTGTGTGTTTTTCTCCCTCACCTCTCTGTCTCGGCCTCCCTCTCTTATAGCCACCTCCTTCCTCTTATCCTCCTCCATCTGCCTTGAAATGCGTGTCATGGAGATAAGGAGAGAGATGGGCCAGGAAGTTAATGGGCCGGTGGATTGATGGGCTTGAGAGAGAGAAGAGGGGCTAATTGATGGGCTCTTACATATGGGTTTTGGGTTCCTATATAATTTGGGCCAGATCATCTACTCCCCCCAATTCATCATGAGGAGTGCGGAGTAACCTAGTCGTGGCGAACTACTCTCTCGAGATGCTTTGACGAGGTGAAGAAATCGAACCAATCTACTCCCTCCAATTCGTCGGAAGAGGCACGAAGTAACTAGTCACCTCGAGTTTGGTTTTTCTCTCTCTTTTTTTTTTTTTTTGGTACGAGATATCATTCTTCGCTCTATGAACAAATTATCGGTTACTTTAGTTTTTTCCGAGTGCCATGTTTTTCCTTTTCGTTTCTCGCATACGACGTACATTCTTCATCATGACTTCATTATTCCCTGCCTTTAAACCGAGTGCAATCGATACCGATCGCACTCCACTGTCGGATGCGAGATACCTCGTCTTACTCCTCTTTCGGAGACGAAATACCTCGTCTTACTCCAATGCGACCGATACCGATCGTACTCCTCTTTCGGATGCGAGATACCTCGTCTTACTCCAGTACGATCGATACCGATCGTACTCCTCTTTCGGATGCGAGATACCTCGTCTTACTCCAGTGTGACCGATACCGATCGCACTCCTCTTTCGGATGTGAGATACCTCGTCTTACTCCAGTGCGACAGATACCGATCGTACTCCTTTTTCAGATGCGAGATACCTCGTCTTACTCCAGTAAGATCGATACCGATCGTACTACTCTTTCGGATGTGAGATACCTCGTCTCACTCCAGTGCGACCGATACCGATCGCACTCCTCTTTCGGATGTGAGATACCTCGTCTTACTGCTCTTTCGGATGCGAGATACCTCGTCTTACTCCAGTGCGACCGATACTGATCGTACTCCTCTTTCGGATGCGAGATACCTCGTCTTACTCCAGTGCGATCGATACCGATTGCACTCCTCTTTCAGATGCGAAATACCTCGTCTTACTCCTCTTTCGGATGCGAGATACCTCATCTTACTCCAGTGCGACCGATACCGATCGTACTCCTCTTTCGGATGCGAGATACCTTGTCTTACTCCAATGCGACCGATAACGATCGCACTCCTCTTTCGGATGGGAGATACTTAGTCTTACTCCTCTTTACGGCAAATCCCCGACCAAACGAGGCCTTAAGCAATAAGGGGATCGTGTAGTATTCTGAATTTTATATAAATGTGAAATGACATATTTTTAATATACGAGTTTATTTATAATTATTAATTAAAAATACCTTAAAATATTAAAATATTAAGTTAAGCTTTCTAAAATTTAAAATTGGAAAACTTGATTTAGTAGTAGCTATTATAAGTTGGTCTCATGTTGAAACCATGCAATAGTTATAAGGGTAAATTCCACTTTTCCATTGTACTTTGTTTCGATATCACTTAACCTCCTTATACTTTTCATTGTATCGATTTGCCCTCCTTCACTTGAAATTTTGTCTCAATGTGGCCACCGCTATTAGCTGTCAGACATCTGACATTAACAACGTTTGATCTGAGCTCTGAAATTACACAAACGTCACCTCTCCCAGTTTAAATAATTATTAAAAAAACAAAAAAAAATTAAAAAAAAAACAAAAAAAAAAAAGAGTTCAAGACAACGAGAAAACATAGTTCACGAAGCCAGCCAAAATTGACTTATTCTAATTTTTATTTTATTTTTAAATTATTTAAACTGGGAGGGGTGATTTTTTTGCAATTTTCAGACATATGTGTTAATGTCAAAGATCTGAAAACTACCGGTGAGGGCCACATTGAGACAATTTTTCAAGTACAGGAAGACAAATCAATGCAATTGAGAGTAGAAGGGGATAAAGTAATATCGAACCAAAATACAAGGGAGAAAAGTGGAATTTACCCTAATTATTAATCAAAGAATAGTTTATCATGGGAAAAAATGTATAGAAACATTAATCTACTGTAAATTAAATTTGAAAGATGATAAAAACGTTGTCTGAATGTTTATTCATTCCATTGGCAAAATTATAATGATTTTCTTTTTTATAAATTATTCGTTTCCCTCTTAAAAGTTTTGAAAGAGTCGATACCAAAGTCTAATCTACTTAGGGAAACTTTATTTATGGATAATTTTTTTAAATGTACCCAATAATGGAGGTCACCTTTTTTGCATTTAAACCACACAAAAATAAAAAATAAAAAACAATAATAATAATAATAATAATAATTCATCTTTAGCTCCTCTAAATAAATCCTGTAATAGCTAACTTTTTTTTCTAGTGGACGTGGTCCCGTTGCTTTGCAAGTTTGCCAAGTGCAACCTTCTTTTGCAATTGATTAATTTAATTTATTTAACCACCACATAGTATCTAAAGACTAATAAAATTGTATTCTAAACTACTACAAAGTACTTAATTACCAAATCCTCAACTATATTGAAGTAGTGGTTATCGATAATGCTCGCCGTTGTGATGATGTGAGCGTGATGTCAGCCTAGTTCTTTTACTTTAGCTTGTAACTTAGCTTGAATCTCGATCGGCTGCCGTCGTTACTACAACACTAGAAAAGGGTTTTCCAGTATAGAAGATCCGACGATCAAGTCAGTAAATGTTTATCTGTGTATTATGTAATTCAATAAAAAATGTTTAGAGAGTAAAAGGTTTAGTGAACCCCGTATTTATAAATATTTTGTGTCTTGAGATGCAGTTTTCATTAGAGCTTTTAACTTAGTTTCCTCCGTAATTATTTGGTTTCCCTCAAATTTAATGGGGTTTTAAGTTAAATAAGTTTCGGCTCGCTTAAGACGCCGACCCAAGGTCTCAACATAACACCTTATGGCCCAACCTCGTGTCATCCTACGACGTAAGGTGCGAATGACATTTTGTCCTGATATGGTTTCATATGCTTATTTAACTGGACTGAACTTCTAGTTTTGGGCCGCCCTTCTTAGACTTTTATGTGCAATTCATTGTATGTACATGTACGGGCAATATCAGTATGGGCGATATATATATATATGAACATTTCAATCATCATCCAAATATAAGAGTAGTTTCTTTTATTTTGTCATGACTTTCTGCTTTTCTATAACTTTTTTAGGAAAAAAATAAGAGATTAAATTCTGAGCGGATCAGCCGATATTTAATATAAATCGGATTCCACTAATTTTTTGATATGTCGCACTCTTTCAGTCTTAACTTTTAATAAATTACGCTAATTATAATTAGGGTTAGAGGGGTTACGGGTTCTGTTGAGTTTTTTTTTTTTCTTTTTTTTTTTCAATTATTAGAATCATAATTATATTTTTATTTAGAATATACACGTGTCAATCATCATATGGCATCCGATTTTCCTATTAAAATAGGTCATCCGGTCTAAATTTGCACCCAAAAAATAATTATAATTTCAAAAAAAAATGTATGGAATTAATTATAGATTGAGAGAAGAGCTCAAAAGTTAGAACTTGGCAAGAAGAATGTTTTCTTCCATGTGCTATATCAGGCCAGGTTGCAAAACTCGTACTTTATGCAATTGAATTTTCAATTTGCATAAATCATATATCTGAAAAAATATCAAAATGTTTTTACCATTAAATTGCATCATTTATTTCATTTCCAACAACTCTTTCTTATTCACCAACTTTTTTAAAGAATTTTTCTTTTATTTTTTTTTTAAATATTATAGTATCCCTAGAGAAATTTGAATGTATCTATTTGGTCCCCCATAGAGAATTAGTGTCTTTTGCAGTGTTTCTCTTACAAGTTGAAATTCTCTCCTGGAAAATAGAAAACATCATTACAAAACCTGTGACCACCAATTGTAATTTTAATGTTCTCTTCTAACATAATCAGAAATTATAATTAGTTGAGGATTAATCTTAATTACCTACTAATTAAATTGTGTCCGCAAATCGAAAATTTCGTCGGATAATTCCTCGATCAAAACCCTAAAAACCGCGACCTCGATTTCTGCGGATGTTTCCTCCACTTGCTCGCGGAAATTCGTCCACAAATCGAACTCTTTCTTGAAATCCAGTCCGATCATCATATCGATAGTGTCGAACTCCACTTCTTTCCAAGAATCCAATTTGTTGCTAATTCTTCCCATCACCACTTCGTTGCTATTTACCGACCAAATTACTTCGCTCTTTTCCTCCACGATTAAATCCGAGACAAGCCTCTTCATATCGGTGGACATGTTCTTCGATCCCACAAATGTTTCCACGCTCTGCTTTTTGTACAGCGCCGCCACGTCATCCTCGGAATAATATCCCTCGGATTCTTCGTCCGATGCTACGAGCAACTTCCTCTCGAGTTCGATCGGGTCCAATTCCGCGAGCTTTTCGAATCTACGGAGCCTGTGCAAGAGCTGTTGTTTGGCTCCTGCATATTTTAAGGGCCAAACACTAGTCAAAATCACAATTTTCGGTACAAATCTATGGGAATCAAAAAACTACGATGAATTTCAAAAAAAAAATAGCGGTTATCGAATCAAATCATTCGATCCAAACGCAACGGGCCCGCGAAGATATCAAAAGCAGGAGGCACAGGAAATGGTCCACCGGCATTATTAAAAATACATAACCTGACCATTTTCTTGAATTCAATAATTGCAAAATTTACTCTGGCCTTCAAGATATATAAACCCCACCACCTAAATTAATTGTGTGTGGTAGAGAAAGTTATCGAAATCTTTATTTCGTGATTTTGCAAGGACAAAAAACGATGTCACACTTGAAACAGAAAATTAATTAATATGCAAGTTAAAACAATAGTACTAAGAAAGCTATGGCCACATGGTACGCTTCGATCCGCATCATAACAATCCGACATTAACGTAATAAATCTAACAATCGAAAAGGGTTGAAAGGGATCGATCGGCCAATAAAAAGATCATTTGCACTTGATTAATCACCTAACATTAAAAAAACTACTAGTGGTCGAAAAAAAATTAAAAAAAAAATGATTAAAAAAAAATGATTAAAAAAAAAAAACTTACTTTCTACATTTTCGTAGCCACAATCGAGGTCATAATCGTCTTCTTCTAATTCTTCTGCATCTTCGGTTTCGCGTAAATCGTCTTCGAACGGAGGCTCCAATATTGAAACGGGACTACATTGTTTCTTCTCTTCTTCCTCTTCTTCTTTATCTACATTTCTTGCTTCGTAATTTTCGTTTTCCTATAAAAACAAAAAGAAAAAATTATTTAAATTTACAAAAACAATGCTTGATTATTTGATTATCAAGATTGCAATCTCATTGGTGAAAGTGAGGTGTGTTTGACTGCTGACCAATCTTCCACGTACGTTAATTAATTAATAAAAACGGTGAAATTAAGCAATGGTTAATTAATTAGAGTTAATCAAGATTTGTCCTCTAGTGGGGAGATTACATGGGGAGATTAAGCAATGATTAAAATAATAATTTATGTGGAATAGGCGTGATGGGAAAAAGTACAGAATTCGAACTAGCAAACAAAATATTGGTGGCCATTTAAATAATTAGTGCATGTATTCATAATTTTTATTTGCAAGTGTTCGAGGGCATTTTCGACATTTGAACACGACAATCCGGCCACCGAATCAGACCAACAGGATTATTGATTGTTCACCGACAGTACAAACTACAAACCAAGTCAATGTATATTTACCGATTTCCATCCGAGTCACGAGTTCACTCGGTCACTCACTCAGCTTCACGCAATTTTCTTATATTATTACTGTATGTCTCTGTATCAATGATTGAAGGTGATAATACAGAAATTATGGCATTTACTATATACAATTGTCCTAAAAAGATATTAATTAGGCTAAATTATGAAAACCTCCTAAATTTAGATTAAATAACGAAAAATACCACCACTTATTTGTAATTACCAAAAAACCTTGAGGTCTGTTTCCGTCTAACGCTTACCCCTTACAATGTGACTTTTTAACGGATTTCTTTTTTACTACAGAAAATACACTTTACACAATTCTATATATTTTCTTTTATTTCTCACCTATTTAACAGAAAGTATAATAGACTGTACACATTTTCTGTTAAAAAACTCGATCAACAATTAATCAGAGAGGGATTTTCGTTATTTAGCCATATTAGTTATTTACCAAATTGATGAGTGAAAACGAGTCGACTCAACTCGTTCATCGAGTTGCCCTAAAATTAAAATGTAATGTGCCACATTTCTCAAAGAGACAGGGGAATAATAAAATAAAAAATAATAATAATAAAAAGAAAAGAAAAAGACAAACCTGATTTACGCGGCGACTAGGAGAAGCCGCCGGAGAACAGAAGTCAGGGGTGCGGCGGCCGGACGAGGAAGGGGTCTGGAGAAGAGAGAATCTGAAAGGGCTTAAGCAAAAGCGTGTTTCCACTAAATCAAAATCGCTATTGATTATTATCTCCTCCGAGCAGTAATCGGAGCCGCAACTGCTGTTGGTTGAGGCCTCAAAATCGGCTTCTTCGTTGTTCTCCGTCCAATCGGCGCTGCTCGGTCTCCGATTACTACAAGAACACGACATTCTAACGTTTTCATCTACTTTATTTTCTGCCGGAAAATTGAGTTCGATGTTCTGGAGAGCGCGCTTTTTGCTCTTGCTCCGGTCTTTGAGCCTTTTCAGAAACGAACCGAACAACCCGAGCCCCGCGGTTTTAGCAGTCCGGGCGGCGGCGGCTTTGGCCGCCGCCTACCACTGCTGCTGTTTCTGGATCCTCATCGCCGCCTCCACCAGGACGGCGGATGTTCTCAACGGAATGTGGAGGAACCCGCCCCCGCCGCCGATGGAGGATTTGCAGGGTCTCTTCGCTGGAAACGGAAAATCGAATAACGGGGATTAAAGTACGTCCGGAAAG